TATTTCCCCCTCCTCATATATAAATATATTTGCATATGTACATGTCTTTATCTAGACCTCTATAAATGCCCTTTGCCTCCCAGCTCTTTCCTCTATTTCCTTTGACTTTCCGAAGCAGAGGATTTTTTTAATGGAGATATAGATTTTTATTATTATTTATAATCTCTTATTTTTAATAATTAGATTTGGGCTGGGGGTGGTCCTGCATTTCAGGTCATCAACTTTGTATTCAACAGTTTAAACCCCCAACGAAGGCCATCAATAGTTCACCATTGATTTTGCTTTTCCCTCTTAAGAACTATCTTCCATTTCACCCAAGTGAACACCTGTCAGCAGTCTAGCCCATCGCTGTATCTTTCCTTCCATGCCCTCCTGCCTCAGCAATCCCCAGAATCTGTTCTCTCTAGTATGTAAGTTTTTATCTTGTTTGCTTGTTTGTTTTAATAGGATTTTATGTTATTGAGTAATTGTGGTTTGAGTGAAAATTTACAGAAAGAAATTAGTTTTCCGTTCGACTATTTATTCACATTTTGTGTTGTGGCATTAGTAGCAAGTCCCTCAGTGTCACAGAATTCTTCCCACTTCTTACCCTGATGCCCTGTTTCCGTTTGCTTTGCTTTGCTGCCCCTTCTGCCTTCTGAGCTTTGTTTTGGGGAAATGCCGCCCTTTTGGTCTCATCTGGTTGCTCGTTCTAAATAGTAGATTCCTCACCAGTTTACCTACCTATCTGTTGTTTGGCTCAAAGATGATCCTTGGGGATGGGTTCTCTTCCACTTTGCAGTGTATCTGAGGGGTCAGTGTTGGGAGCTCCACCAGCCGGTTAAACCAGGAAGTGTGGTCTTTTTTATGACTGAATTTTGTTCTACATTTTTCTCTCCTGTCCAGAACGTTCTATTGTGATCCTCTCAGAGCAGTCAGTAGTAGCTGGGTAGTGGTTCACGCGGCCCATTTGTTCATGGGACTGGTTATTCCCGAGTATTCTGTTTTCTTCACTCTTCTTTCCTCGGAAGAGAGATCACGAATCATATCTCAGATGTCCCTCAGTAGTTTCTAAGGTTTAGTTACTCATCACAGTAGGGTGTAGAACATTATTTTTATGAGTTATGTTCTGCCAATTGGCTTATTTCCCAAAACTGGTCGTAAACCTAATCCGTAGCTCTGTCTAGTCGTTGCTCTACTGCATACATAGAGACGTTTACAGCACATACAGCACATGTAGAAATACCCTCTGCAGACCTATGCATGATTGTGGGTGTGGTCCCAGTCACCTATCTGTGCCTGGCAGGCTTCCGGTCTGCCCTGGGAGCATCGGATTGCAGCTGAATGTGGAGTAGGCAGGCTTTCCAGTCACAGCTGAGAACCTCGGTAAGGAGGAAGTGCACACTTGGTGCTTTCGTTTTCTTCTCGTTGGGGTCTTCTCAGGCACCATCGGGACTTGGCGGGTGAATCACATTTTGCTCCCTGCTAGTCATGAAGGTTATTACGTTTGCTAGACCGGACACCCCCTTACAGAAGGGTCGTAGGGGGAGGAGACGAGCCAGTCAGGATGCAGTGTAGCACTGATGAAACATACAACTTTCCTCTGGTTCTTTAATGTTTCCTCCCCTCCCCACTATCATGATCCCAATTCTACCTTACAAATCTGGCTAGAACAGAGGATGTACACTGGTCAGATAGGAACTGGAAACACAGGGAATCCAGGACAGATGATCCCTTCAGGACCAGTGGTGAGAAGGCGATATCAAGAGGGTGGAGGGAAGGTGGGGGAGAGAGGGGGAATCGATCACAAGGATCTCCATATAACCCCCTCCCTTGGGAATGGACAACAGAAAAGTGGGTGAAGGAAGATGTCAGGCTGTGTAAGACATGACAAAATAATAATAATTTATAAATTATCAAGGGCTCGTAAAGGAGTGGGGAAGGATGGGAAAAAATGAGGAGCTGATACCAAGGGCTCAAGTAGAAAGCAAATGTTTTGAGAATGATGATGGCAACAAATGTGCTTGACACAATGGATGGATGTATGGATTGTGATAAGAGTTGTACACGCCCCCCAAAAATGATTAAAACGAAAAAACGTGTGCTAGGCTGAGCATCAAAAGGAAGACAAGCTTGGGATGAGCTTGTTACCCAAAAAGCTGGTACAGTACATGGCGTTTCCCTGCATTGTGCTGTGTTGACTGGGAATCCATGGGTTTTCAGAGGAAAGCGGTAGCTGGTTAAGTGCTGCCGGTAGCTAACGCTGGTCCCAAAGCAGAAAGTCGTCCGTCCTCTGAGTCGGGCCTTGTGTGCACACCAGTGCCACAGCACTTCTCGCTCAATTTACTCATAAAATGAGCCTCATCTCTTCTTGCAGCCATTGGCTCAGAGCCACAGAACAATGTTGGGACTTGAACCCAAGCTTTCTAAACTGTAGAACTTGAGCACTGTGCTCACCCATGGCCATTAGAAGTCAGGTGACTTTGGTTTTAGAGCAGTATGATTGATTGATTGATTGATTAGCTATGTGAATAAATGCAACTTCCCCCCTCTGGGCATCAGTTTCTGACTTTCTCTGAACTAGATGATTGAGGTGTCAGAATGATCCAGCTCTGAAATTTTATGGCACGAACTCGATGGCAGTGAGTTTGGTCTTGTTTTGATTTTTTTAATCCTTACCCCTGCACCAATCGATTGAGCATGATACTTCTAAGGTTGGCATAGAAACCCCACTGCCATTTAATCAATTCTGACTTGAAAGACTCTTCAGGACAGAGTGGAACTGCTCCTGTGGTTTTCGAAGACTATTATCTTCACAGAGCATTTGTCCCACAAGAGTAGCGGCTGGATTTGAACCAACAATGTTGGGGTTAGCAGCCCCACACTTAGCCCACTATGCCACCAGGGCTTCTTAGGGTTGGCCTACTGGCATATTTCCCCTGGTTGACGCTAACAGCACAGCACATTTTTTGATGACCTTGCTGCAGAGAAAAGTGCTTGTGGGAAGGGAGTAATATGAAGGACAGTGAAATTGCTTGGGGTTAGTGCATCAGGGCCGAGAGGTTTCCTGGAGAGAAGACTGGACTGAAAGCCAAGACATCCAGGGTCCAGTCTCAGCATTGACCTTCACTCAATGGGCCTTGGGCAAGCACTTGATCCATTCTAGACGATGGCATTCGCATTTGTAAAATCGAGTTTTGAACTAACATCGCTGCAATCTCGTGCAGCTGTGCAGTTTCTAGGGGCAATAATGACTCTCTGCTATTGGCCTTCCTGTTCTAGGGTCTAGATAGGTCTTCGTGATGTTTATGTACATTGCCTAGGAGTATTCACCACTAACTGGCTGGATTATCTGGTCTTTCTGAGCAGAGCAGAGACTGTGACTTCTGACCAAGAGAAACAGTTGTTGCGTCAGCTCCGAGAAATCACCAGGGTCATGAAAGAAGGAAAATGTGTCGATGGACCCACTCCAGAGAAAGAAGCCGAGGAGGCTCCTTACATGGAAGACTGGGAAGGTAAACGATGTCTTCTCCTTTCTTTGCTAGCTGGTGGCACAGATAAAAGAGCTTATAAAAATAAATATTTTAAAAATAAACTTTATTATTGAGGTGCAATTTATACATATGCAATAAAACTCACTAATGTTAAGTGTACAGTTGGAATAGGTTTTGGCAAGTGTATAGTGTTGTGTGATCATAACTTAGAACATTTCTCTCTCCCCCCAAATTCCCCTCCCCTTTGCAGCTGATCCCCTCCTGCTGCCCCTGGCAACAGCTGTGCTGCTTTCCCTCCCTACAGTTTCTCTATGAATGGATCGTCCTGCATGTACACTGTTGTTTCTGGTTTGGTTTGATTTAGCACAATGCCTTTGAGACTCGTGCATGCTGTTGCATGGTTGGTGTTGCTGTCTTGGTTTTGCTCAGTAGTGAATGGAAGGAGCTTTGGGGCATATTGGGGTCTAACCACAACGTCAACAATTAGCTCCCAGCAGCCCACCTTGCAGGGGAAGGATGAGGCTTTCTGCTCCCGAAAAGATTGACAGCCTCAAAGACCCGCAGGGACACAGAGTTCTACTCTGCCCTATCGGGGAGCCACTTTGAACTCCGTGGCAGCAGGGTTGGAGAATTTGTGTACTCTGTTGTATAAATATATGAAATTTGTTTTTCTGTTCACCAATCCAAAAAAAACTCCAAAAAACCCTACTGCCATCGAGTCGAATATTTGGACAGTTTACATGTTAGCGATTATAAGTCAAGCTGCTATGCAATTTGCCATAGAAGTATTCAAACATTTGTTGTATTCTCTTGAGTATGCGAGGAGGCTTCAGAACGTTTGTGAGAAAAGAATTGAAAGGTAGTGGCATTTTTCTATGAATTTTTTGAAGCCCCCTCAGACCCAGCTCCCCCAAAATGAGAGCTGGCTGAAAAGATGAATGTCCCATCTTGAGAACAGGAGCCACCGGACAGAGCACTGAAGAAGGGTTAAGGGTTAAGGCACCAGGTAAACACAGTGGCCTTGGAGATCCCCTGGAAGAGGGGTCTCGGGGAGGAGACGAGCCAGTCACAATCATGACACGAATTCTACCTTGCAAGTCTGGCTAGACCAGAGGATGTGCACTGGTACAGATAAGAACTGGAAACACAGGGAATCCAGGACAGATGATCCCTTCAGGACCAGTGGTGTGAGTGGTGATTCTGGGAGGGTAGAGGGAGAGTGGGTTGGAAAGAGGGAACCGATTACAAGGATCTACATGTGACCTCCTCCCTGGGGGATGGACAACAGAAAAGTGGGTGAAGGGAGACCTTGGGCAGGGCAAGATATGACGCCTGCTTCTGGTCGAGGAAGCTTTCGTCTGTGCGGTCATGAGTTTACTCATGGATCGGGCTTTATCAACTGAGGTTATATTTTTGTTTGAATCTGTTAATAGGGTGAATTATGTGAGTGACTTTTGAATGTTAAAACAACCTTGCGTTTTTGAGACAAAACATACTTAGTCAATTCGATAAGGGCTGTTTATGTTTGTTTATAAGGGCTATCGGTCTGTGGCTTTCATTTCTTGTCATGTCTTTGGTTTTTAGTTCAGGATAATGTTAATCTCATAAAATGCTTTAGGATGTATTCCTGCTTCTGGTTTCTGGAAGAGTTTGGGTAGAATTGGTTTATTTCTTCCCTTTTTGTCCTAGGAAAATTCCTCAGTGTGGTTTTGTGACAGACTAATTTGGTTTTCAGCTATATTCATTTTTATATCTTTTCTTTCTCTATTGAGTTTACTTTCTATTTTCGATACTTCATTCAACACGAGGCTTTCTACTCCTGTAAAGAGTTGGTCTTGGAAAATCTGAGGGGCAGTTGGACCCCATTTTATCAGGTCGCTGTGAGTTGGCATTGACCCCAAGGCAGTGAGTTCTTACTTTCAGGAGCCCCGGTGCCATAGTGGGCTGTGGTTTGTATTGCGAACCACAAGATGAGCAGTTCAAGAGACCAGCCACCTCGTGGGAGAAAGATGAGGGTTTCTGCTCCTGGGAAGACTGGGTCTTGGAAACCCACAGGGACAGTTCTTATTCTGCCCTTTAGTGGTCACTGTGAGTTGGAATCAGCTCAAAGGCAGTGAACTTGGCTTGGTTTTCCTTAATTCCTGGGTTCTCCATTTTTACTCAAGCTGGGGTTGGCTTTATCATTTACAGTGGCCTCTTAAATATTACTGGGAATAGCAAGTTGATTGACATGAACTCCCATTGCTTCCATTGACGGTTTCATGAGGATCTAATTACATAATCTGCTTAGTTTGATTTCTGTCCTGAATTGATGATTTCCTCATAGGACTAGTAAATGTTTCTTGCTTACTCATGTTTAAAAAATTTTTTTACTAACCAGTTTTGGTGGCTTATATGGGCTACCTCAGCAATCGTGTGTGTCACCATTTGAGGTACCTCAGTGGGTCTCCCCTTATTAAAGCCAAAGCAAATAGTCACGAAGTTCAAGGACAAGCTTTGTCTTTGGTGTGATGGGAAGACAGGAGCCTGGCAGCAAATTGCCTTAAATTTTCATGGCTTGGAGTTAACATCCAAACTTCCCCGGCCCCGACCCTTGACCAAGGAAGCTGGATTGGCCTTGGTTGGCTAAGACCCTAGCATTGTGTCTGCAGTAAGTTAATCCTAGAAATGAAAATTACATTGGCAAGATTTTTAACACACTGTTATATAATGCTGGTGAGGGTATAATAATAAGATGGATGGTTTTTACACCACTGGTAGGATGGCAAATTTATACCCCTTTCTGGAAAGTAATTTGACAGAGTGTAAAAAAGGCTTTTAAAATTCTCATTCCCTTTGGCCTGGTTTTCATATTTCTAGAAGTCTATCTTAGCGAAATAGAGGGTATAGATTTATATTCAGAGATTTAATTGCAATGTTACTTCCAATCGGGGAAATTTGGAAAGTCTCTTACTGTCTTAAGAGGAGTGGTAAATCATCCAATTATGTTGTGGCTGCATGATGGACTGTTTTGCAGCCAATTTTATAATGCCTAATGACATGGAGAAATGCTCATGGTACAATGCTGAATAAAAAAAATGAGGGTATAGCATTTAATATGCCATGTGATTCTTCAAGATAATGCAAAAACAGTTGAGAAGGCACTGAGCGAAATCCAAGCCAGATTCAGAACAGGACTTGAAATAAAGGATATCATTGCTGGTGTCAGGGGGGTCTTGTCTAAAAGCAGAGACTACCAGACAGATGTGTACTTGTGCTTTCCTGACTGCATGAAGACACTTGACTGAGTGGCTGACAACAAATTAGGGATGACATTACAACAAATAGTTTAAAACTCAGAAAAGGTGCACATCAGGGTTGCATTTTTCATCACACCTGTGCAGTCTGTATGCTGAGCAAACAGTCTGAACCCGTAGACTGTCTGAGGAGTACTCAGCCTCAGGATGGAAGAGACTCATCAGGTGCCACGGTGTACCGTCCATTGCCTCATGGGCCTGTGAAAGCTGACCAGTGAATAGACAGAGAGGAATTGATGCGCTTGAATCACCGAGTTGGTGAAGAAGCAAGATGGCCGGACTTTGTCTTGTACTTTAGACGTGTGGTCAGGAGGGCAGTCTCTGGAGGACAGCATACCGGTGGAGAGAGGGTCAGCAAAATAGGACGGACACAGCGAGTAGGACAGGGATTCTGGGGATGGCACTCGACTGGGCCTGGTGCAGAGGGTCTCCGTGAGTTGGAGCCGGAGCTGACTGGAAGCACGGAACATCATCATCCTTCTTTAGTAAAGGGGGGGGGGATTGTTCACTCCTGGGAAAGAGGCCAGGAGTAAATACAACATATTGAGATCAGTGGTGGCATTCTGGGTGATTTGCCTTCTCGCTCTTAAACTTGTCTCTGTTTTTCCCATGTCCTTCATAAAGTCTGTCTAGCAGGGGAAAAACCCCAGTAAATGTTGTGAAAATGTCTCCCCCCACCCTGCGCTATATCAAAAAAAGACCCCTACTTTTCATCATTTGTAGGGAGACAGTGGTTTGTGTTGGGACTGAATTTGCCCATTATCATGATGTGCAACTAGGTTTGGGATTCTCCAGCTCGCAGCATTGTGTAGTGAGCCTGGCATTGGCAGCACTGGCGTGTGAGTTCCAAGGCAGCCCATCTGCCGCTCAGGCGTGGCTTGGCTGACACAGATTTATTTCATTTCTCTTCTTAACTTGGCAACCTTTTCTCTCTCATTATCACAGCTGCGACTGGGTACCCGCACCACTCATCTTGTTTACCGGTTTGTTATTTTCCTTTGTTGCATTTTGTGCAGCAGAAGCAGCCAACAATGGGAATTCTTTCTCTTGGAAATGCAGTGCTTGTCCTTGGGGATCTGGGCTTGTCTTGCTAACGTGCTCTCTATTTCTGACACTTGCAAACGTTTCCATTGTTTGGAGAAGTGGAGGCTTCAGGGGTGTCGTTTTCAAAGAGCAATTTCCTTTCCTCCTCCTCTCCCCCTCCTCCCTCCCCCCTCCTCCCAGAAGTTCTGAAAATGGTTCCAAATAGAAATGATAAACATTAGCCTCGAGCGATGCTTTCTCCATCTGGTATTTGGTGCAATTTCTTTTTCCCCAACTGAAGCTCCTGTTGCTTGTTTAGTCTTTACCAACAGGGCTGATGCGCATGGTCTGAGACTTCCGCTCTGCCCCAGTGCCCCACACTTCAGAAGGATTGGCGTCTGAATTGGGAGAATCGGCCAAATTGCTAAGGATTTACTCAAGTGTAACTTCAGAACGCTTAGAATTGTCTCTGAGATTTCTTGAATGGATTTGTTAGGATAGGGTGGCTGCTGCCTGAGAATCCTCTTTGAGCCAGCTCCTTCCTTCCGTCCTTCCTTTCTGAAGAGTCCTTGTTTGTCAGACTTTGTGCTGTGTTTCTCTCTAGGTTATCCCGAGGAGACTTACCCCATCTATGACCTTTCAGACGGCATCAAGCGTAGACAAGAGACAATCCTGGTGGATTACCCCGACCCAACAGAGCCTTCTGCTGAAGCTCTAGCTGAGAGAATGGGGGGACTAGGAGAAGACTCCGACCATTCGGGCTGGGGAGGTCTGCCCACTGATCCCCCGGCCCAGGGGGAGAATTCTGTAACCTCTCGTGATGACCCAGAGCCAGCAGCATGTGCTGACCGCTTCGGTGAAGAAGAGAACCCTGCTGTCTTGGCTGAGAATGCTGGATCCAGTGCAGACAGCTACAGTGAGCAGGAGGAAACCACTAAAGAGGAGTGGCCCCAAGACTTCCGGGATGAGGGTGCAGGCATCGACGATGATGGTAAAGCACACCCCGGGGCCATGCTGCGGAAGCGGAACCTCCAGAGTTTAGAATGAAGACAGCCAGTTTGGTGAGGTAGCCATGACTGTGGTCCTCTCTCAGATTTCCTGTACTTCATTCATTCATAGCTGTCGGACCATTGCCATGGCATCATGTAGCTGTCCTGTGCTCACACACCTGTCACCTTGTAAAACATCGTAGAGGTTAGTGTGAATGCAAACAGCGTTTCTCCCACCAGAGAAGTTGACCCATTGAGGAACTTTGTTTGGTTTATCCTAACTGCAGATGGGGCCACTTGGGGGCGAGGATCTGGCTCCTCCTGCTAGGAGTGAGATGGGTTCCCTGTAAGTGAGCAGACATGAATGAGGACTTGGAAGAGTGAAGATTTCAGACTCTTAGGTCCTGTGGGCCTTGAGCAGGTTTGTGGCCCCCTGGGAGACACAAGCATTTTGTTTTGAGGGACGGTGGCCACAGAGTAGGCTAAGACAGTTCTCCGCGCTGAAGCCTCGTCTTTACACCTGCACTCTTTCCAGGTTTGAAGTTGCCCCAATTCAGTGTCGCAGAAGACCCCTCAGAATGAGCCCAGAGGCCTGTCTTGGGGACTCTTTTGCCTGAATGTTGCCTGGTCTGTAACTTCCTTTATCCCTGCTGTGCCTAACTGAATGGCCCTACTTAGACCCACCGTCGACCTTTTGGTCTTCAGTGGCCAGAGGAAGGTTTCCACGGGAAACTTTAGACCTTACCTTGCAAAGTCAAGGTTGGAGGCCTTTGGAAGGCCTGCCCAAGAGTGATAGTCCTGTCATGAGGCGCTCAGAAGGCTAGCCAACAAGGGAGAGGCCCCTACCCTGACAATGTCTTTGCCTAGAAGCAACTTCTTAATGTTGCGTGCTCCAGGAAATGTGTCCCCACACCACATCCATTGAAACGGAAGTGCAGACTGAGGCTGTGTACAAAGTACCAGCCCAACACGGATGTCGCTGAGAACCTGTGCCACGTGCAGAGGGGAAGAGACCGTGATGGATATTCAGATAGCTGAGTCTGTTGAGGAGTCCTGGGCCCACAGTGGGTTATGCATTGGTTTAGGTACCAGGAATATACTAATATATCAGGAATCCTGATACTACTTTTGATAAGTTCGGGGTTTTTGAGAAGTGTCCTTCAGGGATAGCCATTTTAGGTGAGCAGGATGAGGGCATCCTGGGACGGGTCTCTGTTGCTGCGCTTTCCTCCCTCATACCTCGGAGCCGGCCTGGTGGGACACCCCCCACCCCCGCTGCTCGGGAGAAAGGTGAGCAGGCAGGCTAAGTCTAGCTGGTCAAGATTAGTCTTGGAAACCGGAAGGGGAATTCTACTCCATTCGATAATAGGGTCACTACGAGTTGGAATTGACTCGAAAGGCGTGCGTTTTGGGGGTTTGAGTCATAGGAGAGCTGGGGAAAGTAGATTAATGGGGGTACATTTTCATCAGGCTAAAGGCTTGATCTAAACTGCCGTCTGTTACATGGTGTCTTGAAAGGAGGTGAGACCCAAGGATTCCAACAAGGATGAGGGAATGTATAGCTTACATGCCAGGCCTGTTCCCCTGAGAATACTGCCAGTCTTCAAATGTGGGAGACCTGACGAGGAAGACCGGATGTCCAGCAGCTCTTCGTGCCCCAGAGTTCCAGTGAGCCTGGCCTGGGAGTGCCGAAGTCACCCCCGCAAGCATGCAGGACCAGAGACGCCACTGCAGACGGTGTCAGGACTGTGGCTCTGCCCACCTTGGAGTGAAGCACGTGACTCACCTTGCAAAGAACGAAGCAGTTGTAAATGTTCCGAAGCCCACCTAGAGGTGATACTAAAGGTGACAACACAGGTGCTCTTCCCTGTTTTGTTTCCCACACTCCATTCAATGAGGAAAGCACTACGTCCCTGGTTAAAGGCGGAAATGTCTGTCTTGCCTTATGAAAGAAATACTTCTGTTCCCCTGTAGCCGCTTCATACATTTATTAGTGGACCCTGCTGACTACCAGACACTGGGAACAAACAGCTGAATCCCTGCCTTTGCGTAGCCCAATCTAACATGGAAGCCTGCGTGCGATACGGCATGAACTATGAGACCAGAGGCACTCACCTAGGGCTCAAAGGTCATGAGTTCTATAAGCTTAGAAACATGCACCCTAGTCCCATCCCTGCTCGTTCTTGCTCTAGGACCTTGTACTGGCTCCTTAGCACCTCTACAAATTAAAGATCGTAATATGTATTCCTTAGGATGATTAATAAGGGTGCATGCAACTACTGGTTCGACCTCCTACTGATAACCAGGGAATAAATGGTAGCAGTTTCATTTCTCGTTATATAACGTTTCAAGCTGTCACTGAGATTGGGACCCAAAATTGGAGGAACACAAAAGAAAGCATTTTTACCGAAGTATGTGCAAGTAAACGTCACCGAGAAGCTAGACGTGGAAGCATGCTAGGAATGTTTCCAGGTGGGCAGGGTAGGAAAGGACTTTCTTGACAGGAGTGGCATTAGAAAAACAGGTGTAAAAGAATGTGGTATGTTCGTGTTATTTTGACGAGGCTGGGATGTATGTTAATTTTAAATGCTAGTTTTCGGTGGACAGGTTGGGGGGTGGGGATAGGGTATGGAAATAATTCCTGCCAAAAGTATGGAGTCTGGTGCTGCCCAGCTCTGGAGGTGGGTTTAGCAATCAGGCCTATACTTCCCTATCAGGACCGTGGATCCATCATTTTGTCTGGCCCCTAGGTTGAAGCGGTGATCTCCTCGCAGGACTCGTAAAGCCGGGTACCTTCTTCATTCTGTGCACAGGAGGAGCACCGCCGAGGGAAGGCCGAGCTCTAAATACGCTTGACCCCAGGTACCACCACCCTCCGTGCACCCGTGAGACCCCGAGGCCGAAGGAGGGAATGGTGTTGGAAAAACCCTTTTTAGAATCAGCCATGTTGTCCCTTGTGGGAGGGGGAAAGAAGAGTACACAGCAGTTTTGAAACAATTCAAGTTTAATTTGTTGGTATATGTTCTGTACTTAGACAAACATCAAATTCTACAACACACATAACATCAACATGGGGAATACCAAGTTTGTCATTGCACGTACCAATAAGTAAATACATTTGCTCCAGAATACCAAAGTTTATTTAAAAAGTCACTTAAGAAAAGCACAGTTTTGCAAGTTTGTCTAAAACTCCAGATAATTTTGAGCAAAAATAAAATGTCTGACCACTGGAAAATAGGAAAAGACAATCTTGTGCAAATAGACATACATAAACTAGGCATTATGAAAACTGGCTAAATGTATGTTCTCAGCAGAGAAACGCACTCAGCCTGACCAAGTCCCCTCTGTCACCAAGTGTGGGCCCGAGAGGCAGAGCCAGACTTTCCTCTACGTCACTCCAAACTGCCCTCTAGGAAACTCTGGATCTAAAACTCGGCCTATTCTCTAGCTCCTCCTGGGCCGTGGGAGGGAAAAGGGGCGAGAGGGGTGTGATGTCTTTCTTGGAAAAGAAAAAGGCACCGTGATGAGTTGACAAAGCAGGGATGACAGCCAGGGTCTACCCCCCAACCCACCCTGAACCCCATTGCAGTGTTATGGACCACCAGCCCTGCTTTGCAGGTGAGAAAGCTGACCTTGAAAGATGACATGGCTTACTCAAAATCACATGGGGACAAAGTGGAGATGAGAGCTTTCAGGAAGACCAAACCATACCCAGCCCGTCGCTTCTGCTCTTCCCTGTCCCTGTATCCTGAGATGACAGGAAATCACCACAGGAAGTACGTTAAGAACAGGTGGCTAATAAACTCAAGCAAGATGCTGCCCCTTGGGCTGTTCATGGGCACTACCCCAGGCCTACAAACTTGGTCCCAGACAGTGCTGAACACCCACAGGACTGCAGACTGCTGTCTGGAGAGTGTGCTCTATCGCCACCTGGTGGACCATACGGGCGTTGCAGCTGAGGCATGAGTGGAAAGGGCCCTGGGGAGGCCAGGGTCACTGCAAGAAGGGAAAGCAGGGATCCACCTGGGAGGTGGAATTTGTGCTTGCCTAACAGCCATGGGCATGGCTCGCCCAGTACCTCCCTTGGCAGACCCCATCGTGAGGAAAACCTGGGCCTTTCCATTTGGCATCACCACTGCTGCACATTAAACTTAGAATTACCTCTCAGGTAAATCAGTGCCCTGCCATTTCCAGAGTGAAGAAAACCCGGTGCTTGTACAGTGTTGTTGCCCTGCTCGTCACCGGAGGAGGTGTGTGCCAAAGCTGCACTCTCTGCTCCTGAGCCACACTCCGCTCCCTTGCTCCCAACACCAGTCCTCACCACAGTCTGGCCCGACATGCTTCCTCTAAACCCGTGTCTTGATTTTTAAGGCACAGTCACTAGATTATGTTCAAAGTCATCCAAAAGCAGGCATGCAACGCTGACGCCGAGTGGGACGGGGCAGACCAGTGACTGTCTTGAACACGATGCCGGGAGAACACGGGGTATTTTCCCAGATAAAGCATGAAATGAACGAACCACCCTCAGGGATCCTAACTCCACCCTTCGCCCTGCCCTTCACATCCTCAGCTGGTTGTTTGCATATTGCCCTTGTTCCCAAATACACAGAGACGCGCGCGCGCGCACACACATATGGAAGGACACAGAGCACCTTGGAGCCGGAAGTAAAAGCTAGAACTGGAGAAGAGGTGGGTGAGTGAATATCACCGCTCTGCAGGGCTGTTTGGGGGAAGATTGTGCAGTTTGGGGTTGTGTCCCCAGGAGGAGCTACAGAGCCCAGAGCAGTTACAGAGAAGCTGCCCAAAGGTGCCAGCCACCTGATACCCTTAGGAACTGCTAGTTTGGCCACGTTCCCTGCCCACCCACAGACCTGTGGGGACCCAGAGCTTTGCTGTGGGAGAGGCTGAGCCCTGGGCCTGCGGGGCCAGTGGTCAGGGGCAGCAGCATCATCAGGAGTGGCCTCTTCAGAGCAGAACTCGCTGGGCTAGGTCTCAAGCTAAAGTGACTCCTGCTCACGACTCAACAGCCAACGGAGGGTTACGCTGCTGAGGCTACCCTTCTCCAAGCCCACGATCACGTCCCTAACCTTACAGCACACTAGGCTATCCAGTCAGCCTCCTCTCCTGTGCTCGAGGCAAAAAGCCAAGGCCAAGAGCTTCCCCTTGTGCTTCTGAATTTCCCAGTCCGCTACCACAATCCCCCTCCCACCGGGATCCACAGTCAGCCCGGCCTACCTTAACACCCTAGACTCTGAGATACAGCTCAACCACAGACCTCAGCTATCAGAATCCCCATCATCTCTCCTTGTGGGCCGGCCTCTGCTAATTCAAGCCACGGAAAGGATGATGGCACCATTGTTTCACTGGGGTGGAAAGTTGTAGCGTCCTCAAAACGGCCCCAAGAGTTGTAGAGGAGTCTGGTGGGGGAAGACCCACGCCGGCATTGGGGTGCCTTGCTACAAGCAGTCAACAGAGCACAACCTGGACTGTGACAAAACAAGAGCGTACCACTTCCACGTGAGGAGTCGAAACAACTCCGCCTAGAGTCTTACGGGTTCACAGTACAGCTTCACTTTAAAATGCCAATCTCGACCTAGCCTTCAGAGCGCATTTGCTCTACAGCAAGGCACCACGCACGCTGGCTTTCCTCCATCTGGGCAAGAAGCCTCTTCCAGGGCAAATGATAAGGACGGGACCTCAGCCGGACCAGCCTGGAGGGAGGACGGTCCCTTCAGGAGAGTACGGTGGTGGAGGGAGAGAGCGGGGCCAGCTCAGGGCCCTCACACCCTGCCTATCACGCCTCACCTGACGCACACGCAGCAGGCCCGCAGCAGTGGGCTCGTGACTGAGCAGCTTTCGGGAGGGGCAGACTGGTGTGCAGAAAGCCCAGTTTCCATTTCAGACACCGAGACTGACATTTCTATGTCTCTGGAATCAGGGCAAGCGGGATAGGATGAGCCGACTGGTCCCAGCACAGCCAGAGAGCCAACCATACCAGTTTCATGGGGGACCAACAGGAGACTGTGAGATTCTAAACTGCTGCTAATCAGCTAGGTGACCCTGGGCAGGTGCCACATCTAAATTGCTAGGGTTGTATGAGTTGATTTCTGTGATCCTGCCACATACAGCTAACCTTTTGTGGTTCCAGAATACCCCCTACTCTCCTTGTCCCTGTCCCCTTACCACCAAGCACAACCCACACAAGCCCCACCACCTTCAAGAGTCACCCTCAGAAGCCCTGACCCATGACAAGTGAGCGAGGCCGACAGCAGGGGGAGCTGCAGCCCGGGGAAGTAGTGCACCTGGTGCTGGGTCTCCCAAAGGGAAATTCTTCCTGGAGCCTGGCCTGGCTCACAAAGGTACCCCAGGCCTGCTTAGCTGGGGATGGGGGTGAGGGTGTGGCTTTAACAGCCGGCCAGACTGCGGGCCCCAGGGAGCCTGTCCCCTGTACCTCCTGTAGGCAGAGCCTCTGTCCTGCATCCTGGGTCCACTGAGACTGCTTCCCACCGCTCCTGGCAGGAGGCACAGAGCAAAGCTGGAGACCACGTGAACTCCACGTGCAGGCTTCCAGCCAGTTACCGTTTGGCCGAGACAGCCAGCCCTCCAACCTCCCACACCACCACCCCTGCCACTGGGATTGCCAATCCCCCCAGGCCTGGCTGGGACCTTCCCCCTTACAGGGCTTGCCTGGCCTTGAGCTGCTCCGAGCGAGGCTCACCACCAGGCAGGAAACTGCAGCGCCAAGCCCGGCCACAGAGCCATTTGCTTGGTTAGCCAGGTGCGTACTTCACACCCGCATATGCAACCACACTCAACCACACTCGCTGCTGGGGACCCGCCGTCATCTGAGGCCTGGGCTGAGTGGATGGCCAGCCCACCGCAGCCCGAGTTGTGCTTCCTCTCCCTCATCACGCCACGCCTTCCAGCTGAAGAGGTTGCCCAGCTTGGCAAACACAACTGCAGCAGAACCCAAGCCCAGGAGCAGAGGGGGGGGACTGACCGTGGGGCGCAGAAGGGCTTCACGCTGGTCCCTTCTGACACCCCTCCCCCCTGCTTCAGCACAGGGCCAGGGGAGCCTGCTCAGGGCCGGTCGTCTGGCAGGAGGCCTATGTACAAAGGGTAGGCAGGGCCGTCTCCACAGGCAGCCAGGCAGGAAGGCAAGCGCCGCGCCAGGTCAAGGAACCCCAAAGGGCACGAGGACCCTACTCGCAGGCCAGCTTGCTGTCGAAGCTGGACAGGGCGATGGCAAAGGCCTGCAGCGCACACAGTGGGTAGTTGTAATCCATGGTGAATACATCCTCCGCGACCCGGCCAAACTGCATCACGATGTAATCCGCTGGGGCCAGGCAGGAGAGTGGACAGGGGCAACACACGAGGGTGGAGGTGGGGAAGGGCAGACCGACACCGAACCACAGGAGGGAAGGGGAAAGCAAGAAGCAGAGGGCAAAGGCAAACCCCGAAGAAAAAGATGTGGACACACACCAGAAGACAGGGAAGAAGAGGGGAGAGCCATTCTCACAAGGGGCCCGTGGCCGGAGATTCTGCTGTGTGTACAGACTCTAGGGCCGGCACCCCCAAGGTTCTCCCGGGATCGCCCAACCTTTCTGGCTAGAGAGCTCTTGGTGTCTCGTCTAAGCTCCACCCCCACCACATGCATGGGGAGGACTGGGTGAGCTGCAGCCCCGGGCGTACGTGTTGTGGGGGGAAACACTCACGGTCATTGCCATGGATGATCTGGAAGTTCTTCACCGAGGCCTGGGTGACGCGCCCGTGGAAGTTGAGGACATAGGACTGGGTGTCATCATTCCAGACAGGCGTCTTGTTTTGCAGCTCGATGACCGTCTCTGTGTTCTTGTTCTGCCAGCGCGCCAGTAGTGTCTCATGCTCCTGGGAGGGCAACCTCACCTAAGCCAGGCCCTGGCACCATGGCCACCCCAAGCAGGATGTGCCCCCGGAGTGGGGACCCTTAGATGTCCCTGGGCTGCCTGCATTGTATCGCTTACACTTACATGCTCCAGGTGGGAGTCCTGCCCTGAGACACTCTGGCCAAGACTAGGGTAGTGGGGAAGTGGGGGAGAGGACTCACGTTGCGAGGCCTGATGGAGACGCGCTCGTGAACCATGTTCATGCCTGGGACGATCACACTCATCTTCCGTGGTCCCTTGAAGCCTAAGACATTTGTCTCCTGAAGGGGGAGGCATAAAGACGACAAACTAGTGTTCAACATCTCCACTTGACCATGGTGTATAAGCACCTCGTAACTCAACACACTCAGAACTCAGCTCCTGGGTGCCCACCCTGCCCAAACCAGCTCCTCTTAGGAGGGGCTCCTTCTGCCCCTCAACTCCATCCCCCATCTGCTCAGGCAAAGTATATGGGACCATCCTGGGCAACCCCCACGCCACCCCACTGCAATTGTGCCCCCCTCTCCACTTATCATCCACCAGCACATTCTATCAGCTCAATACTCAATTCTATCCAGAACTTGACTACTTATCACCAGTGTGTCACCAAGACCAGACTCCCCACTTTGGTCATCCCCCACAACCTTCCCCGCCATCTGTTCTTAACCCCACAGCACAGCGGCCTGTTAAGGTGCATGGTCAGTCAGTCTCTGCTCGGCTTCTCAGCTCTGAGTATAAGTGGGATCTTCCTGGGACTGCAAGACTTCCCACGACACAGCCCATGTCCTGCTCCCCTCCCACCCCCCCACTCCTCCAGTATCCTTGTGTCCTCTCAGGACCCCTGCACTAGCGACTCCATCTGCCCTATCCCCCCAATCAACTCAGACACCTCTGTGAGGCCTGCCCTGCCATCTTTCCACACACACACCGTGACATTTCGTAGCCCACCTTTAGTTCCACCGTCTCAGCATTTGTCACAAACGTTCTTTTACTCGTACGCCTGTTTTAAATATTGCCTCCCCCACCAGGGGCAAGTTCCATGCCGGTAAAAAGGTACTGTGTTGGTGTGGTTAGCTACCGTGAGCTAGGCCCTCAGCTCTAATCACAGGTCAGTGCTTCAACCCCACCAGCGGCCCCAGGGGAGAAAGCTGAGGCTTTTCAGAATCCCTCGGGAACATGTGCTCAATCACAGAGGGACTGAGTCCAATCACCTCGCTGGCAGTGGGTCTCACGGTTTTGTGTGACTCGGCCAGTGCCTGCCGTGCTCAGTATTTACGAACAAAAGACTCAGGCGGTCTTCCCGAAGGTGACCAGCAGGTGGCAACATCGGATTATATGAGCCGGCTGTGGAGTTCCTCTAGGCCCCAAGATGCACACAGGGGCAGCCTGGCTGAAGTCTGACAAGGAGGAAAGCGCCCCCCGCATCTGAATTCCAAGTTTGTGATTTATGAGCCGTGTGACAGCGGCAAGCGACCCGACCTGGCGCTTCCGTGTCCCCAGCTACGGGATAACGGATGGCAAAGGTAGGATCTAGACCCCAGGCTGTCTAGGACACCCAGTGAGATGCTTATGCAAAGGAGACTGTAATCCACGCAGGGGGCGGTGGGAGGGGTGCACAGAAAGGAACCTCCTTTCCGGGAGGTGGGGCTGCAGAGAGACAGGAGAAGGGGCCACACCAGAGGGCTGCCCTCCCACATGGGGATTGATGAGCCAGCCCCTCTCGGGCAGCCTAGCAGAGACTTCCTGTCTAACTTGCAGGCTGGCCAGGAGCCCAGGACTCACGTAGCACACAGCTGCCAGCTCCTGACGCAAAGTTCCGCTTTCCACGGGGGAGGAGGTGGTCTTCTGAGGGTTGATGCCATTGTCATAAACGGTGAATTTGGTGCCCATGAGGTTGGACCTGTAGGAGCAGCACCGTCAGGAGAGGCCATGCCTCCCTGTCTGTCCTAGGAAGGAGCCTGCAGAGCCTTGTGGGATGGGTCCTGAGCCCACTGCTCACGGCATCCACAGCTCTGAAGGGGACTCATGAGCAGAAGGCCTGGGCCTGCTCTCAGTTGGCTCCCAGGGCATCTCAGTCCAGTGAGGGTGATCGAGAAGGCATACTGGGGCTCTACAGGTCTCCCTGAGGGAACAGGAGAGCTCCCCTCCAGAATGGCATCTGGAAGGGCACCCCACCTGTACTCAAGGTTGCTGCAACTCTTCCCTAAGGACTCACTCTCAGCCCTGGCCCTTGGCAAAGATCACACAGGCAAGGCAGCTTGTCCCTGGTGCCCTAAATCACCAGGGGCACCCTGGGGCTGGATCAGCCACCTGGTGGGCTTGCTCTCCCTGCCCTGCCTGGCAGCAATTTAAGGCAGGGTTTCCCAAAGTAGGTAATACTGCCAGGGACACCCCCCCACCCCAGCCCCCGGGCATGCTGGAACCACCCAGGGCAGCTGCAGAAGCAGACACCTACACTGTGTCCTAGATTATGGGAGGGCGCACAAAAGGTTTTCCTGAAAAGATAGTCGGCTTTACAAACCCCGAAGCTGTTTTTGGGTATGATGTGAAACCAAGCTGCCAGTCTGGTCTTAAACCTTGGCTTAAGTTGGGTTCTGGAAACCTGCCTCCCCATCCCACCCAGCCCCCGCCCCCCATGTGCTTCCTGGGAGAGTGCTGGTACCGCAGTTTCCCGATGTAGCTGTCCCCGCCTCGAGACAAGTCCGTTGGGTCCACAGAGATGAGGTAATTGGAAGTTTTACTCTTCTTTCTCTTCCTTCCCGCCAGGAGGAACACCTTGGGGAGGGGACCAAGGTCACCACCCAGACCCAGCTTCTGGTCTTCCCACGCATACACAAAGGCACCACTCACACGAGGGACACACTGCTTCGGCTCCCAGATGGTGGCATCTATTAGCGCACTCTCTGGGTGCATGAGAGAGAGAGAGACACACACACACACACACACACACACACACACACATCTGGGTGCATGAGAGAGACACGCACGCACGCACTGGCAGACACCAAAGTGAGCACTGACCAGGCACCGAAGCTCACTTTCTCTGGAGTGGGGAGTTGGCTGGGGAGGTGAGATTGAGACCAAAAGGCCATGTTGGATCTGGGCTCCCAGGAACACTCCAGTCCCTAAGATCCCAAGGCCACCCAGGGGGAAACAGGTCAGCTCACCTTCTTCCCATCCTCACGGTCCAGGTGAAGGAAGTAGGTGGGGTACATCCCCCGGTCCATCCCCTTCTTGTCCCGCGTGATGCGGCACTTGATGGTGATGCCCTGGGGGGCCGGCCGCAGTGCAAACTCCTCCAGGTCCTGGACCTCCACATCCACTGGTGGCTCTGGGGCCGTGGGGCTGGGGGCTGAGGCCGCCTCCTACAGGTTAGGGAGCAGGAGCCGGAGCCCCAGGCACTCTGAGCTGCTCAAACGTGTTTGGGGACCCACAGTTGCCCTGTGGTCTTCAACCATGGGGGTGGTCCTGGCCATCCTGAGGTCTGGGGTCCCTGCCCTGGCCCTGAGCAGTGGGCAGATTCTCAGAGGCTGTCTTGTCCAACTCCAGGCCCCCTCCCCATTCCTGGTGTGGCTGGAGATACTGGGGTACAGGGCCGAGATGAGGAGGCCCCAAGTCAGAAAAGTTCCCGCTAGACCTCTGAGTCCAGCCCTTGGCCCCAGGAAGCGAGTGCCCTCAGCTCTTCACACGCTCCCTCCCTTCCCAGCTGCAGAGCGTCTGGCAGACCCCGCCACCCCCCCACACCACCCCCGAGTGCGCACCCCTCGCTCACCCTGAGGGACTTCCTGCTGGTGGCAGAGCTGGGGCGGGTGTTGCTGTTGAGCTGGGAGGAGCTGGAGCTGTCTTCCTCCTCCTCCTCTTCTTCCTCATCAAAGCTCATGCTGCTGGAGATGCCTGGGCAGGACGGTGCACTGACAGATGCTACCCCCAGGATAGGCGCGGCCACACGCACACACCCAGAGACAGACTTCCACAGACACTGGCCCACAAGCCCCTAGACCAGCGGTTCTCAACCTGTGGGTTGTGACCCCTTTGGGGGTCCAACGGCCCTTTCACAGGGGTTGCCTGATTCATTAACAGTAGCAAAATGACAGTGATGAAGTAGCAGCGAAAATAATATGAGGAACTGTGGGTCACGGTACTAGGAAGGTTGAGAACCACTGCCCTAGATGCACACCACAACGTGTACAGACCCTCACATTAACACACAGATGCCCATGAATGTCTAGATACAGGAACACACACATTCCCTCGCGTGGACGCATGGACTGGGGCTGGGCTTGATTCTCATGATACGCCCACCCCCACCCCCACCCCACGGCCAGTGTCTCAAGACCTACACTGAAGGGAGCCTGCTCTGGGCGCCACAGGCTGGTACAGGCCCAGCTCCTTCTGCAGCCTGGCATGCTGGGCCCGCTGACTCTTTGATGGCACCTCGGTCTGATTTGAACCTTGGTCGACACTGCCCCACCCCCAGAATGCCATCTCCATCCTCGTGGCCACCCACCCCCAGAATGCCATCTCCATCCTCGTGGCTTCGGCTGCCTCCCCAGCCCTGTCTCTAGGAAGCCTTCACTGATCAGATTCCTTGGAGCGTGTGGCCCTGCCTGGGCAAAGGTCAGAGACTCCTAGCCACAGTGGAGCAAGCGGCAGGGCAGCAGGTCTGCAGGGAGGAGCAGTCTGGCCTGCTCCGCCCCGCCTAGCAGACTTGTGCTTTCTCGGTGGAACCGTGGGAAGGCCACCTGCCCTAGAATGTGGCCTCCCTGGGGGCAGGAGTATGGGGAGAGGGGGAGTAGGCAGGGGCTGGGGCGGTGGGCTACACTGCTTGCCCTTAACTGGGCCTGGTCAGGAGCTCTGCCCCAAAGTTCCTCATCTGTCGGCACCCCATACACCGTGGAGTCAGGGGACAGACTGGGCACAGGAGGGCCATGCTTCTGGAGAAGGGTGTGTCTGGGAACCTGGGGCTGTGCTTTGGGGAGTCCCTGGGCCCCCGGAGGGCTCACCCTTCCTCTGCATCGTGGCACGGAGGTCCTGCCCGCTGGGCTTCTCGCCCCCACCAGCTGCCGTCTCCCCTGCGTCCAGGGCGTGGTCTGACTGGCCCACAGTCAGGATCTGCACGGGGCCTCGGGTCTCCGACTTGTCTTCGGCTGGTGCTGCTGGCCCGCCGGAGCCTGCAGGCCATGGACACTCCTGAGTCAAGTGCAGGGGGCAGTGGGGGGCAGGGGGGGGGGGGGCCTGGGCCCAGATCCTCAGATGTCCAAGGGAGGCGAGTGGGGCCCTCTGCAAAATGGCATTTGTCAAACTGAACTTCAAAACACTACCGGCTGTTATTAGGCCTGACGAGAGTGAGCTCTCGTCGGAGACCAGTAAGCTCCGAAGGGAGTGAGTTTCCTTTCTTCGGCACGTCCCCAATTCACAGCCAGGGGTGGGTTTGCAAGGCTTCACACAGCAGCCGCCGGGAAACAAACAAACAACTCCCTGTCATTGAGCTGGTGGCTACTCCTGGAGACCCTGCAGGGCAGTGTAGAACTGCCCATGGGTTTCCGAGGCTAACTCTTCATGGGAGTGGAAAGCCCAGTCTTTCTCCCAAGGAGCGGCTGGTGGTTTTGAACTGCTGACCGTTTGAAAAGATCACAGCCCAATGCCTAACCACAGCAGTCATCAAAACTACCCAGATGGAGAACGAGGTTCAGTCCAGACCAGAAGGATCTCACACGGCCCTGGTCAGCTGAAGGTCCTCCACGCTGGCACTCCCTCTCAGACAAGCACACACGACCTGGCAGCCCGAGCACACCACAGGCCACATGGAAGGGGCATCTTCAAAGAGACCGAGATGGACACACGCTTGCTTTCCCCTGGTGGAGGCCCTCCCGCCCACGTCTACCTTCCTGCCCAAGGGGCCACAGGCGCGGCCCACACAGGTGGTGACCACCCTGCCTGGTCAGGTTACACCCAGACAGCTCGGGGAGCCCGCAGAGCCTCACACGGCTCGTCCACCCAGGACCCACACCCCGGAAACCACTGCTCGTGGACAGGAGCTGGTGCAACGGTCAGTCTGCCCAGCAGACAGGACTCCATGTTCCTGGTCTCCGTGGCCTTCTCCAGAGAGAGGAGCAGCGGGAAGGGGCCAGTCTGTGGGTCCCGAGGGCGGAGTGGGGATGAGAGCGGGGAGTCCCAGGAGGGAGGGCTGACGAGCCGTGCCCCAGGAGACAGAGTGGGCTGCCTGCCTGGGACAGTAGGAGGGCCTCTGCTGGCGGGGGCAGGCCGGACCCAGGCCGGGCAAGGCTCTTGGGTGGAGTGGGGATTAGGGTGGAGGGAGTCGTTCAGGTGAGGTGTGAGGTCTGGGCCCCAACAGAGCTGGACTTCACTGCCCGGTCACTTCCGAGTGACACAAGGACTGGAAGCCAGGTTTGAGTGCCTCTCGGTCTTAACTGAGGCCACCCCACCCCTTGCACTTCCAAATCGGACGAGACAAGCCTCCCCAGGCCCCCCGCCCGACGGCACAGTGGGGTGGGGGCTGCGGGAAGACACGCTCACCTTTGTGCTTCGCCTTCCTCTCCTTTTTGGAGGCCCCGCCCTGGCACCCGGCAGTGGGGGCAGCGGCGGCAGCTGCCTTGGTTCTTTTGGCTGAGGCTGGTGCTGTTGGGTGGGCAGCTCCCAGCGGCACACTGGCAAGGGAGTCGGCCTCTTGAACTGCTCAGGGCAGAGAGAGAGAAGTGGGCCCTGCGTGAGGCCAGAGCTCCAGCTCAGAGAAGGCTTCTGAGCCCAGCATTTCTCCGTCCCTCCCCTGAGTCCCCAAGGCCGCCTCCCCGGCCCACAAAGCCAGGGCCCCACTCATCTCCACCAGGCCAAGGTGCCCAGGGCAGGCCTGCGCTGGGAGAAGGCGGCACCTGCAGCGCGGGCAGAGAAGATCCCGAGTCTAACCCCCCCACACCCTGCCATACCCACCCCAGAAGCAGGCCAGCTGGCTGTTCTGAGCCCTGGGGGGCGGGAGGGAGACTGAGGGGGAAGGTGGTTGATGGCAGGAATGATTGTGGGTGCTGGCAGGACCACAAGCATGCTGGGGACCCTGTGGGATGAGGCGGGGGTCCAGGGAGGGTGAGCCCACCAAGGTAGAGCAGTAACAAGTGACAAGAGCCGTAGCTGGGTGGCCTCCCATCCTACAGGGCTGGGATCCAAATCTGCCCAAATTCTTGAGAGCTTCCTTCCAACTGTTCTGAAGATGCAGCCCAACACCCTCCTGCACATCTCCCGAACAACTCGTGGTCACTTAGTTGTTGCCCACCCACAGTGACCCCACAGAATGGGGTAAAACGGCACCTGGTTACGGACTAGAATGCCCTGCTTTCTCCCTCGGGGCGGCTGGTGTTTTAGAACTGCCAACCTTTGAAGATTGTTACCCAACTCGTCACCACTACGCCACCAGGCTTCCTTTCCTGCACATCGGGCCCCTCCACGGCCCTGCCCCTTGCCCTGTACCTCACACCCCTGGCTCCCTGGGACCACGAGGGCCAGCCACCAAGGCTCAGTCAGTGCCTTCCCTTCTGCACGCCTGCTGGGCCGCACACACTAGGAGGCTCCCTGAGGCCAGACACTAGGAGACTCCCCAAAAATAAGAGTGAGGGGGGATTTACGCATCACTCGCACCAGCAGGGCCTGGGGGCTGGAGCTGAAGCCTGCTTGCTGGGCTAAACCGTCATGCTGCTTCGCACCAGTCGTCCTCACCTCCCTCTGGGAATAATCGCCTTGTTTTTCACATCAGGAGCCAGCCCAGGGCTGGGCAGCAGGGCAGCTAATGCTGCTGCTGGTAAGGGAGGTCTTGATCACCACTGTGAGTTAGACAAGGGCCAGGCCACACACTTCATAGGGCCCAAACGTCCTCAGTCCAAATATCCTCCGGAGAGGCCTGGTCTGCAAGGTCACAGGCCTATACACACCCTTGCCATCTCCACTCCTGCACGTCCTGAGGCTACTAAGAGAGTTAACTGCTCTTTTAGGGCGAAGAAACAGGCCCAGAGAAAGAGTGTGGCGTGCACTGAGAAAGAGCGTGGCTTGCCCACAGGCACAGGGAAAAGGCGGCCAGTAGTCGCAGGATCAGGAACTGATCCACTTCCCCACAGGCCCTACTTGCCTGTGTTCTTTCTTGCCTGGCATTGCCTTGGCACAGAGCCAGGGCTCAAGAAACACCTGGCAAAATGACTCCCTCAGTGACCTGCGCGACACTCTCAGAGGCCCTGAGATGTTTGCCCCGGACATAAATTAACCCACCACTCCCAAGTTGATCCCGACTGCACAGGGCTCCAGAGACTATACATCTTCCTGGGAGCACACAGCAGCTCGTGGGTTTGAACTGCGGACCTGGTGACAAGCAGTCCAACACATACCCTGGCTGTCGTCATGGCAGTGGGCTGGTATACCCCTTATGCAGCCTCCGATCATCGAGTGGCTAGTAGGGACAGCTGGGCCGGTGATGGCTGCCAGCTTCCACAGAACCCAAGACAGCGGGCACCTTCGCTGCTGGGGCAGCACCCAAAGAGGGTTGAGGAGGGGCTGCCAGGACAGGGTGGGGCCCGGCCAGCTCTGAGAGGGGCATCAAGACCTGCCTCTCTGAGAGACAGCACTGGGGGAAGTCCCTGCCCTCTCGGGTGGGCTGCACACATCCCAGGGGGATTACCACGAAGGGGCTCTTGATCGGGCAAGAGACATACCATAGCGGAAAGACCCTCTGGAGTCAGAGAGGCGTGGGTTCGAATGCAAGCCCCATCGTTCCAAGAGGGGGACCACGGGCCATGGCATGCCTCTGTGCCCCTCAGACCCCCTCCCTGAGTGCCCCGCGGAGATGAGTGACTGGGGATTAAAGGAGCCTATCGCTTGGCACAGCTTTTGGCAAATGCCTGACGGCTTCCTTGACCCCCAGACACAGAATTCTCTCTGTGCAACACAGACTATCAGGAGGGGCTGCAAGCGGGAGGAAGGGAAGGGCCCTTCCTAAACCGTAAGGCAGGTGAATAAGGTCAGTCCTCCGGTGAGGCAACTAGCAGCAGGTCACTGTGGCTGGAGGCTCCAGTCAGAAGGAAGCACGGAGGGAGAGGAGCGTCGTGGCCAGCCCGGATGACCGGCGCCAGCAGAGGTCAGTGGTGACCGAGTCTGGGGGGTGGGGTCCCTCTTTCAGGCTCAGGGAGGCTCTAAAGGGTACTCTGGCCCTGGAGGGTCCTGAGGCCAGTGATCTGAGACTGCCCGCTCTCCTGGGATGAGCTGCAGTGGGCTCTGCTGAGGAGTGGAGTATGGAAGGAAGGGAAGGGAGGGAGTCCGGAGCCAGGGAGAAGGGCCCGCAGGCCCCCGCCAGGCCAACCAGGTGTGAAGAAACTCCACGGCAGGAAGGGGACGGACACGCGTCCCAGGGGAGGCTAAGTGGCGGGGGGGTGAGGGACCAGGCCGGGAGGGATTCCCGGAAGAGGTGGACTATTGGAGGGGTGGGGATCTTCTCTGTCTGGAGAGGCTGCCTCCTGCCCTCACGGAACCGTTCTAGATAGAAAGGCTGGAATCGTCAAGTTCTGACTCGCCAGCCCCAGCGCCTGAATCGGGGACGATGGCCACGGCGTCGGCAGGAGGCCCCGCGATCATTTCCACCAGGGCTGGGGTGGGAGGGGGCCAAGACTGGCAGGAGCTTTCCTCCGACACTCTGCTGGCCATCCCTGCCCCTGCCCAGGTGCAGGGTTTGCTGAGGGCCTCCTGGGGCAGGGCGTACCTTGGTAGCTGGTGCTGCCGCTGCTGCTGAGGTAGGACTCCACCAGTGGGGCCTGCTCCTCTGACTGCCGGGCCCGCCGGCTCCGGGGCCGCCCATCAGTGTTGGCCTGGACCATCAGGGGCTCCTGGCGTTTCTTCTTCTGCTTTTGCTCCAGCAGGGCCCGCTAAGGAGGCCCGGGAGGCACAGAGGTCAGCGGATTCCTAGAGGGCAGCCTGGGAGGGGCTCCCGCAGTGGGACCGGGACCAGGATGCTGCTCCCTCAGCTGGGTTCTAGGGGTCACACTGGTCCGCAGCCCACTCTGGACCGAGGCCCAGGAAGACCTGGTGCCCAAGTCTCAGGGTCCCGGAGAGGCCAGTGGAGCTCAGCCCAGGAGGCCACTGGCAGGATCGCACACAGACCCCAGTTCTCCAGCCGCGGTCACCCTTGGGGGCCTGCTCAGCACAGGCCCCAAGTACTGAGCTGGGAAAAGGGTGGACGCGTCTCCCTTCGTCCTCCTGCCCTGGGGACAGGGATGTCCTTCCCTCTTTCTCCTGGAGATCCCAGCCCGGACACCCGCCAGGACGCCAGTGCCCACTGCCCAGTCCTCCTCCGGCCTGTCCACGCTCACTCACCTGCCGGTCAAGCTTCTGCTGCCTCAGGTTACTGCCCTCATCATCTAAGACACTGTGGGGACAGAGAGGAGGGTTCAGCGCCTCCCCCCACCCATCCCACCCGGGAGCAGGCTCACACCAGAGCTTGCCCCAAGCACTGAGGGGCCCCTTAAGTCCTCCCCACATGGCTCTTGGCCCCCCTGACAAAGGCTGCCTGCCATCTGATAAGCAGCTCCAGACAAGAGGGCGGACGTGTTTCTACCACTTGGGGAGGCATCGTCTCTGCTGGCATCCCTATTGCCCTCAGGACTTCCCATTCTGCCCACACTCGGTGGGGCCAGGCTGAGACCCACCCAGGGCCCCCTGAGCAAGGCCTGGCCCTCAGCAACCCCTGAGATCCAGGAGAACCATCCCGAAGCATCACCCTGGCCAGTCTGCTCCCTCAGCGCTGACCCAGAGCTCAGCACACTGCCCTGCTCTCCCGCATCCCCGCATTCACGCCGGCTCCTGGCCCTCCAGGGAGCAGAGGGGACATGCTGATGCCAACTCCCCTTCCCCACTCAAGGAGGTCCTAGGCGTTCCTTCTCCGTTGGGGGGTGGGGGGGTGACGGCTAAAAGACCTGTCTCTTGGGCAGAGCTGGGCTGCAGGGAGTGGGATGGGCTGCGGGCACCTCAGTGCAATGGGGTAGGTCTGCCCTGTGTAGCCCAACAACAGGCCAGATGGTGCAGGTGGTACCAGGGCACCAAGCCTTGAAGCCCAACGTCCTGAGCCTAGATGGGCCCTGTTTCCCAGAAGAACAGAGCAGAAGCAGGGTGATGATCGCTCAGGGCACTGCCCTCAGGCCTGGCCTGACACCCGCACGCCAGAGCCACGGCCATGTTCAGGGGCAGTCAAGGTCAGGCAGCTGTGGAGGAGGAGCTGGAGCCCGAGGAGTGTGGAAACCCCAAAGCCGCCCTGCCCCACATCTGTGGATACCTGTACAGCAGGGGCAGATTCAGTGCCTGAGTACCCAGTAGGCAAGAAATTTTTTCGCATGACAGCTTCTGCATATGGCTGGTATCTGCCTCTCTCCCGACCCCAGAGCACTTTCCTACAGGGTCAAAGCCTCTGGTGGGGACTGAGTCCTGAGTCAGCAAATTAAGCACAGGCTTACTTGTGCTTGCTTACAAATCGGTATGGATCAGAGATGTGGTGAAATCTATGTGTAATTGTTCACTGCCAATCAGCAAGTAAGCACAGGCAAGCCGGCATCACTGCTGCACCGGCAGCCCAGGTGCACTGTGTTGAAGTGTGAGCCTGTGCGAAGTGTGTGCAGGTATCTTGTGGGTATGCACATGCTGGAGGGGGTCCAAATGTGTGAGCACGCCCATCTACAGGTGGGCGAACGTTTGTGGAGACAGAGGCCTGCAAACGCCTGTGAAGGAAATGGGCATCCTTGTGTGAGGTTGAAGATAGCTAGGTGTCCATGGGAAAAACCACCCCACACCCACAGCTACCATCTGTTCAGTCACACTCAGAGACCCTACCATGCAGAGTAGAACTGCCCCTCCTGGCACGGAGCCTCACATCTCTCCTGCAGAGGGGCTGGTGGGCTTGAACTGCTGACCCACTGTTGCCACCAGGGGAAAAGTACACTCAGATCGCCTGAGGACGAGCCATTGCATCTCCTCTAGACAGCAGCAGCCATGACCGACAGCAGCTGCAACCACCACTGACTTCAAAGGTCCTTTGAGTGCTTCCAAACCAGAGGACAGCCCCCCTCAGCCTATGGCTTCCTCACTCCACCGGACAACCAGGAGGCCTTCCCTGGTGCCCACAGGCCGCTCTGCACCGCGGAAGAGCCCGACAGGGACCTGGGACCATGCGCACACCAGCCTCACTCACCAAGGCCTCCGCTGCCAGACCACAGAGCAAACTGCTCAGCTGACATGCTTCTGAGCCACCACGGCCTCAGACTGCTTGAAACGGCCCAGCTGCATCTGGGGCTCCCCGAGGACACCACCAGGGCCCGAGGGCAGGGAACCAGCTCCCCCAAAATGAGAGTTGGCTGAAAAGATGAATGTCCCATCTTGAGAACAGGAGCCACCCGACAGAGCACTGAAGAAGGGTTAAGGGTTAAGGCACCAGGTAAACACAGTGGCCTTGGAGATCCCCTGGAAGAGGGGTCTCGGGGAGGAGACGAGCCAGTCACAATCATGA